AGTACAGTAGCATCCTTTGAGAGGTCTGAAGGTTTTGAATGGCGTTTGGGTACCCTTGGGACCTGCCTGCTGATTGTGGTGGGGATCAGCATGTTGGCACACACACAGAGTGTGTTTTACCCACCACCATTTTGTCTCATCTCAAAAGTTAAGCAGAGTCGGGTTTGGGTCTTGTCTACAGTTAGACGACAATATAGGAGCACCAAGAGATTTTCCTCAAAGCTGTACAGTCATGAGTGGCAGGGTGTGTGGGACAGTATGGGCAAGTATCTAGTCCACTTGGCCCCTCCAGTGCTTTGGAAGCATCGGAGATGGAAGGCAGCTGTATGGAGTCCCCAGCAACAAGGGGCAGAAACTGCTGAAGGGGACAGTGAATTATTTTAAGCCTGGTGGGCCCATGGCACTTCAGGCCATCAGGGTAGAGATGCAACATAGAGATGGACTCATGATGGAGGGGTGGACTTAACAATGGACGCTAATTGATTCATGTGTGTGAACACTGCACACAGCCTCTCCTGTTCTGAAAGACTGTTATAAGAGATGAAACCCGGTATCATGGACCGGATGGACTCAGCAGCTTTATAGGGATTGGTCCATGCACTAAGAAATGATCTCTTTCTCACTGTGTGTATACATGGATGAATATATGTAAGAGCAATGGCACATTGAAAATGTAGGATCTGAGCATGACGTGAATGGTATGCAACTGGTTTAGCAGTAGCAGTCTTATTTCTTCTTCTTAGTAGCTGGTTCAGCGTTGTGTTTTGACTTTCGGCCTGGGAACAGAGCTGATAACACCAATGTTTCCTCTGACCAAGGACTTTGTGAGCCTCATGCTCTGCCAGGGAGGAGGGGAAGCCATGAGGAAGCAGAGACAGGACACCTGACCCAAACTGACCAAAGAGCTATTCCATACCACTACACGTCATTCCCATGATGTAACTGAGAGTTACCTGGAAGGGCTAGGACTCCAGGTTAGAGGAGGTATTGGTCGGTGCTTGGTCATGCTGCGGGGCGAGTTATCGGTCGGCTGGGGCTGAGGTGTTGTATTCTGTTCCCTTGTTACTTCCTTTATCATTATTATTCTTGGTGGTAGCAGTAGTGATTTGTGTTATACCTGCGTTACTAAACTGTTCTTATTGCAACCCGTGGGAGTTGCATTCTTTTAAATTCTCCTCTCCGTCCCTCTGGGAGTAGGGGGAGGGCAAGAACTGGGGGAGTGAGTGAGTGAATGAGCTGCCTGACTAGTTTTAAACCACTTGGCCTGGCCTTGCTTTGCCTTGCATTGAATTGCCTTGCCGTACCTTGCATTGCCTTGACTGTCCTGGCCTAGCCTGGTCTTGCCCTGCTTGATGTGGCCTGTCCTGGCCTTGCAGGGCTTGCCTTGCCTTGCCTTGCTTTGGCCTTTCAGGGCTGACCTAGCCTTGCCTTCCCTTGCCTTGCCTTGCCTTTCCTGGGCTGGCCTAGCCTTGCCTTCACTTGCCTTCCCTTGCCTTACCATGCCTGGCCTTGTCTGGCATTGCCTTGCCTTGCCTTGCCTGGCATTCCCTAGCCTTGACTTGCCTTGCCTTGCATTGCCCTGCCTTTCATTGCCTTGCCTTGCCCTGCCTTGCCTTGCCTTTTCTTGATCTGCCTTGAACTTACTTGCCCTGACTTACCCTGCCTTGCCATACCTTGACTTGCCTTGCCTTTCGTTGTCTTGCCTTGCCTTTCCTGGCATTGCCTTGCCTTACCTCGCCTTGCCTTGATCTGCCTTGAACTTCCTTGTCCTGCCTTGAACTTCCTTGTCCTGTCTTGCCCTACCTCTCTGTGCCCTGCCTTACCCTGCCCTGCCCTGCCCTTCCTGGCCTTGCCTTACCTTGCCTTGCCTTGCCATAACTTGTTTTGCTCTGCCTTGCCTTGCCTTGCCTCGCCTCGCCTTGCCCTGCCTTGCCTTGCACATCCTGCCCCTGTCTTGCCTTGCTTTTGCAGGGCACTGCAGGTACAGCTGAAAATTCCCTGACTCATCCTTGGTCCATGGTTGAGTTGCTTTGGAGATAAATCTGACTTTACAGCTCTAACACCAAAAGGAACTGTTCACCTTCACGTGCAGCAGACACACAGATCTCTTGCTGTGCCATGTGCACTTGAAAGTTACTGAGGAAAGTATCCATGGGCTGGGAAAGGAAACAGCTCAGGAGGGAATTTTTAGCTAATTGTTGCTCTTCCTGGTAAAACCTGTAGGGCTCTAGCATCTTGTTCCATATTTTCCGTGGTCACTGGAATGGGTTTCATTATTAAAAAAAGTATTTCATTTTCTACTTCCCTGTGTTCCAGGAGAAACAGCAACAAGGGCCTCCCCTTGTGCCACAGCTTGTGACACTGTGCAAGACATGACCAGAAAAACAGCTGGGCTGGTACTTGTGGAGAAGCCTGTGGGCTGTAGAGCTTCATCAGGGACAAGGACAGGTTTCTGTGTAAGCACTGACTCAGTTCAGCCCAGCTGTGCTGTAGTGTAGAGCAGCACCCCTCGCTGCCCTGTGCGGAGTCGGGGCTGGGGTGCGTGCTCCCCACCCCTTCTCTCCAGCCTCCTTTCTCTGCAGTGAAACAGAAACTATGTTCCCTGAAGAAATTCTTTCCGGGGAGGGTGGTGAAACACTGGAATGTGTTTCCCAGAGATGTTCCTCATGCCCCTTATGAAACTGTTTAGAAAGAATGCTGAAAGAATCACTTCCACAGATACCAAAAAGTGATTTTAATGTGAATTTCTAAAAGCAGGATTCCTCAGGATTTGGTGGCGAGGCCCCACTCCACCATCTACAAAAAGAGATTGTGTCAGACTTGGCAAGGATTTATCCAAGACTGGATTCAAGTGATTTACACAGCACTGAACTGAAATCATGTGTATAGAAACTGCAAACAGAAAGGAATAAGGGAGACCCTCTTGTTGAGGCACAAGGTTCAGATTGGATCTCTTTGCTTTCTATGCTCCCTCTCTGAGAGCAGTCTGCGTGCACCTGAATTCCATCAGCCTGGTATTCATCTGAAGGATCACAAATGCCAGCTAGCAGCAGTTTGCATTTGTAAACTCAATCACAGGATTTCTAACAGCACTTGATATTGAAGCTGATATACACCCACTTGCAATTAAATATCCAACCTGACACTTGGTTGCTTAGTCGTTAAGAATTTCTTAAATGGGTTTAAATCAATTATATATATGGACAGGTTTCTGCATGAACATAACTGATTTCTATGCTCTAATGTATAGAAGAATGTTTAACAACAAACAGAATAGGATATAAATTAGTGAAATTAAGGTAGGATGTAAAATTCAACTTTAAAGCCCCAGTTGCTGTTGCTGACCATCCAAACAGGGTATCCCACCAGAGATGTTCTCATGCTCAGTGTGTGGACTTCCCAGAGATAGGTTAATGGTTGGACTTGATGTTCTCAAAGGGCCATTTTTGAAAATAATTGATTGATTGTGAGAAACGAAGATTTTTATCCGTAAATCTTTGTATCATCAGAGAAATGGCACTGCAGGAAGGCAGTGTGCCTCCCAGCTGAGGGAGGGAAGATCATTGCTTGCTTCAAGCTGTTTCCCATGGTGTTTCCCTGGAGCCCCAGGGAGGCCTGGAAGGAGCCCAGGGGGCAGAGGCAGAGCCACCTTGGGCTGGGCCTCTGCTGCTAAGCTGGGACTGATTGGAGACCTGCGAGACACAGGGCGCTTAAAGGCACTTGGCAGTGGAGGATGCTGAGGAGGAGGAACCTTCTGAAGGAGAAACCTTCCCAGCCCTGTTTGTGGTAAGGCACTGGGTGCAGGGCAATGCAGCTGCAGTTTCTCTCTGTGTAGATAAGGAGGAGGATGTGCTGCAGAGCAGGGCTTCTCTCTGCACCATGCAGGGACAGGACAAGGCAGGTACCTTGTGCCGGGGCTGGCTGCAGGGTGTGAATGTGGGTGTGCAGGCAGGGGTGCCCAGCGCTGCCCTTGCAGCAGGGTCCCTGCAGCCCAAAGGCTGTGTGCAGGGGCAGGGACTCTGCTGCCTGCCAGGGTCACCACTCGGCCTGCCCTGGAGCTCCCCATAGAGCTTGGGGGGAGCTGAGGGGAAGGGAACAGCCCCTGTCAGGGAAGGGAAGTGCTGGGTGGGTGACGCTGCTCCAATCTGCCGTCACTCTGAGCACTTCTTCAGAGGGTCCCTCTGAAAGACACTGAGGCATCATTTACCTGATAGGGAAGGATCCTGAACTTTGATGGTTTTTCCTCTTGATGGGCAGGGTGGGCAGTGGGAGCTGGGAATTTACTTCTCTGCTTTGGGGGAGGCACCGAGAGCCTTGAGAGGGCTTGTGTGAGCTGCTCCTGAGCCCCTGCACAGGCAGGGGTGTTCAGGGCAGAGCTGAGCACACAGCCCATGGCATGGGCTCTGGGAGCACTGAGAGGGAGCAGAGCTGGGCACAGAGCAGCAGCTCCTGGCCGGAACAGCTCCAGGCAGCAGAGATATGGAAGGGCAGGGAGTGGGGGGAAAGTGCAGCCCAGCCCTGGGGAGGGTGCGTTCAGGCAGCTCTCTTGGGGTCTGGCACTGGAGGTGGCTGCTGCCCGTGCTCTGCCCCCAACAGCCCTTTGCTTCTCAGCGTGAGAGCTCTGTGGACTGTCCTTTGAAACCGTTCTCCCCTGGTCTCAGCTCAGGACAGATGTTTGTTGGAGTTCTTAAGATCAATTTGTGTGTGAAGGCACCTTACAGGCAGTGCAAGTTTGAGCACAGGGCAAGTGGGAGAGGACTGGTGGACACTGCAGCTCTCTTGGTTCTGCAAAGAACTGAGACTTTTTGCTCTGAGCAATGCTCTTCTGATTGAACCTAGGAAGAAGCCTCAGCAGTGTAATGACATGACTGGTGATGACACAGAACCTCTCCTCTGCTTCTAAAATGTGCTCAGTTGTGAATGTGTAAACTGAACTTCTGTATCTGACATCCCTCCTGTCCTAACCTGTCACTGCCTTTTTCTCCTCTGACGGTGCCCCATGCCCAGAGGCAGCACATATCCAACGGCAGCTCCATCACCCAGTTCCTCCTCCTGCCATTCGCACACATGCGGGAGCTGCAGCTCTGCCACTTCTGGCTCTTCCTGGGCATCTCCCTGGCTGCGCTCCTGGGCAACGGCCTCATCATCACCAGCACAGCCTGCGACCAGCGCCTCCACACCCCCATGTACTTCTTCCTCCTCAACCTCTCCCTGCTGGACCTGGGCTGCATCACCACCACTGTCCCCAAATCCATGGCCAATTCCCTTTGGGACAGCAGGACCATCTCCTACACAGGTTGTGCTGCACAGCTCTTTTTCTTTCTCTTATTCCTTTCAGCAGAGTATTCTCTCCTCACTGCCATGTCCTATGACCGCTACGTGGCCATCTGCAAGCCCCTGCACTATGGGACCCTCCTGGGCAGCAGAGCTTGTGTCCACATGGCAGCAGCTGCCTGGGGCAGTGGCTTTCTCAGTGCTCTTCTGCACACAGCCAATACATTTTCACTGCCCCTGTGCCGAGGCAATGCTGTGGAGCAGTTCTTCTGTGAAATCCCCCAGATCCTCAAGCTCTCCTGCTCACACTCCTACCTCAGGGAAGTTTGGCTTCTTGTGGTTGGCATCCTGATTGCTGTTGGCTGTTTTGTTTTCATTGTGGGGTCCTATGTGCAGATCTTCAGGGCTGTGCTGAGGATGCCCTCTGAGCAGGGACGCCACAAAGCCTTTTCCACGTGCCTCCCTCACCTGGCTGTGCTTTCCCTGCTTCTCAGCAGTGGCACATTTGCCTACCTGAAACCCCCCTCCATCTCCTCCCCATCCCTGGATCTGGTGGTGTCAGTGCTGTACTCGGTGGTGCCTCCAGCAGTGAACCCCCTCATCTACAGCCTGAGGAACCAGGAGCTGAAGGATGCTGTGAGGAAGCTGGTGACCAGATGTGTTTCAGCAGATATACGCTGCTTGCTTTACCCTGCAAAGGGCTTCCAGTGTAGGTCATGACAGGCCATGTCTGTCTTTCCTGCTTTGTATTTGTTTTCCTATTTCAATTTGTGATGATGTTGTCTTCATAGAAATGCCAGTTTTCATCTCCTAAATAAGTTGCCACTCGTGTTGTGTGACCCACAGACTTTGTGTCACTCTGGTCTCTGATTGTATTTAAGGGAAATAAATGATCCTGCAGCAAGTTCTTCTCTGTGATATGTCCTCACATGGCAGGAATGAAGGGGAATGAAAGCAGCTTTCTGGCTGCTCCAGCTCTGGGATGGCTGCTCTGTGCCTGCAGCAGGAAGAGCTCTTGGGGAGCCCATTGAATGGGGCTGTTGTGCTGGTGTGGGGCGATGGGAAGGCATGGGGGGGCTGCAGAGCTCTCAGGATGTTTTGGGAAGGGGAGCAGGGGACACAGGCATCCCTGCAGGGGACTGCCCTGCAATGGCACAGGCTGGGGCTGCCTGGCTGAGAACAGCCCATGGGAAAGGTCTGGGTGGGCAGGAGCTGGACAGGAGCAGCGTGTGCCCTGGCAGCAAGGGAGGACAGCAGCATCGTGGGCTGTATGAGCAGGAGCACGGCAGGAGAACAAGGGAAGGGATGATCTGGAATCCTCCATCCAGGTTTCACATCCCCAGTTCAGGAATGCTATTGGCAAGCAGGTGTGGGTTTATCAATGGGCCCTCAGGACAAGCAGGGACTGGATCAGGGTGCCTGTGGGGAGAGGCTGAGGAAGCTGGGCTTGTCCAGCCTGGAGAAGGGAAAGCTGATGGGGACCTGAGATCTTGGGAAGGGAAGGCTGTTGGGGACTGGCTGCCTGTAGCGGCAAGGAGGTCATGGAGAATACAGAGCCAGGCTCCTCACCATGGTGCCTGGTGGGAGGACAAAAGGCAGTGGGGGATAGTGACAGAGGAGAGGTTCAGCCAGGAGAGAAGGAAACCTTGTTCCCATCGGCTCAAGCAAGTGCTGCATCAGGTCACCCAGAGAGGCTGTGCAGTCTCTGGCCTTGGGGATTTCAGCTTACACTGAATCAAGCCCTGAACCACTTGCTCTGACCCTGTTCCTGGTGGGTTTGACTTGAGACATCCTGGGGTCCCTTCCAACCCCTGTTCACTCTGATCCTACAGTGATGGGCTTATGAAGGGTCACAAAGATGCTCTAAGGGCTGGAGCACGTCTCCAATGGAAACAGGCTGAGAGCTGGGGGTGTTCAGCCTGGAGAAGAGAAGGCTCCAGGGAGACATCTTAGCAATCTTCCCGTGTCTAAGCAGGGCCTACAAAAAATCTGGAGAGGGGCTTTTTATGAGGCTGTGCAGTGACAGGACAAGGGGGAATGGCTTTAAGCTGAAAAAAAGGAGATTCAGCTTGGACATTCAGATGATGTTGTTCCTTTTGAGAGTGGTGGGACACTGGCACTGGGTACCCAGAGAAGCTGTGTCTGCCCCATCCCTGGCAGTGTTCAAGGCCAGGTTGGATGGGAGTCAGCTTTGCTCTGAAGCAGTGCTTTGTCCAACTGTGATGTTCACAAGGGATTTCAGATGAAATCCAACTTCATTGTAAATTTCACTACTTGTACTCATGACTCAAGTGAGTCTGGGCTGCACAAGAGAGGATCAGCACGGCCTTAGAGTCATTTGGACTGTGTTATTTATTTACTGGCATAACACTGCTGAGGTGGTTTTTGTTTGATTTTTTTTTGGGAGGGGGGTGCTATAAAACATTCTTTGTATGACAGAAAGTCAGAACAATATTGAAACAGGGAGAAGTTCTCAGCTCCTTGTAGCTTAGTGCAGAGCAAGGAGGGCTGCAGTGTCCATCAGTCCTATCCCATTTGCCCTGTGCTTACAACACTTGTGTATGATGCCTTCACACACAAAGTGATCTTAAGAACCCCCACAAACACCTGTCCTGTGCTGAAAGCAGGGGAGCATGGTTTCAAAGGGCAGATCACAGAGATCTCATGGGGAGAAGCAAAGGGCTGTAGGCAGCAGAGCGTGGCCAGCAGCCACCTCCAGTGCCAGACCCCAAGAGAGCTGCCTGAACGCACCCTCTCCAGGGCTGGGCTGCACTTTCCCCCCACTCCCTGCCCAGGCTATCTGAGAACTTTCCCTCATGGGAACATGCCTCCACATGGCACATGGGGAATGCCCACTGCTGGGGGTGCCTGAATGCTGCTCATCATGCCCCATGAGCCCACCTTCCTGTCTCCCTCTCCTGCCCTACCCAAACTTGACTGGAATGCAGGATCCATCCCTGAGCCTGGGGAATGCAGGAACCTCCTGCAGTGAGGTGTGCAAAGCTTCTGTGAGACACTTGTTAGTGTGGGCAGAGTGTGGGGTTTGTGCAGCGGAGAGGGTGCTGCAGGCAGGAAGCTGTCCCATATGAGGTGCCCTGTCCCCAGAGCATGGGGTACCTTGCACCCAAGGACACCACCTTTCTTTTTGGCTCTTGCTAAGAAGTTCTCAATCCAGACCATTGCCTTTTCCCACTGATCTCCCATGGTGCTTAGTTCTCTATACTGATGGCATCACCCATTCCTCTAGAAACCTCCTTTACATCAGCTTGCTGAGGGATATTCACTCCACCTGCTGAATTGACACTATAGTAGCAGCCTACAACTAGGTGAAATGTGACTTCAGAGATGATGTAGTTTTTCTCGCTAGCAGGAAGAGAAGGAAACCTCTGCAAAGTGCAGCTTGGAAGGTTCAGACTCAAAGTTAGGAAAGAGAAATGTCTCTCAAAAGGTGGACTTGTGGTGCAAGAGGTCACTCAGGAAGTCTGGCTCAGCCCATGGCTTTGTGTTTCAAGGAACAGACAGCGATGGTTGCAGAGATGGGACTGAAGGTACAGAAATGCCAGGTGACAGCTGGGTGGGAAAGCAAGATGGGGGTCAACAGCCTGAAGGGAAAGAGGTGCAGGCATGGGCCAGTGTAGGACAGCCTGCAGCAGAGATGGCAGGGTTCTGGCATGGCTGAAAGGCCCAAAAGAACAAAAGGCCTCTGTGCCCTGGACTATGGCAGTTGCCTTTTTCATCAAGGCCTATGAGGAGAACTTTCATTCTCAGGATTTCAGGCTCTGCTTCTCCAAGGGCTGTGGTCAGGGCTTGGCCTTTCTGCATCATCAAACAAACGAAGGGCTTTCGCACCATCAGACAACTGCACTTATATATTCTTAGAGGTGTCATAGAGGTGTCATAGAGGAGTCATAGTGGAGTCTTAGACAAGTCATAGTGGAGTAAAAGAGGAGTCATAGTGGAATCATAGAGGAGTCACAGAGGAGTCATAGAGGAGTCACAGAGGAGTCATAGAGGAGTCATACAGACGTCATAGTGGAGTCATAGAGGAGTCATAGTGAAGTCATATAGGAGACATAGTGTCATATATTCTTAGAGGTGTCATAGAGGAGTCATAGTGGAATCATAGATCAGTCATAGTGGAGTCATGGAGGAGTCATAGAGGAGTCACACAGGAGTCATAGAGGAGTCATAGAAGAGTCATGCAGCAGTCATAGAGGAGTCATAGAGGATTCACAGAAGAGACGTAGAGTAGTCATGTTGGAGTCACAGAAGAGTCATAGTGGAGTCCTTGAGGAGTCATAGAGTCATAGAGGAGTCATACAGGAGTCATATAGGAGTCATAGAGGAGTGATAGAGGTGTCATAGAGGAATGAGAGAGGAGTCATAGAGGATTAATAGAGGTGTCATAGAGGAGTCACAGTGTCATAGATTGATAGAGAAGCCATAGAGGAGTCATCAAGGACTCATACAGAAGACATAAAGGAGTTATAGTGGAATCATAGTGGTGTCAAAGAGGAGTCATAGTGTCATAGAGAAGTCATAGAAGAATTGTAGAGGAGTTGTAGAGGGGTCGTAGAGGTGTCGTAGAGGAGACATGGAAGAGTCATGGAGGAGTCATAGATGAGTCATAGTGGAGTCATAGAGGATTCATAGAAGAGTCACAGATGGGTCATAGAGGGGTCATAGTGGAGTCATAGAAGTGTCATGGAGGGTTCATAGAGGATTCATAGTAGAGTCATAGAGAGGTCATAGAGGGGTTGTAATGGGGTCATAGTGGAGTCATAGGGGCTCATAGAAGAATCTTAGAGGGGTCATAGAGGGGTCATAGAGTTGTCATAGAGGAGACATAGAGGAGTCATAGAGGAGTCATAGAGGAGTCTTAGAGGAGTCTTCGAGAGTAATAGTGTCATTG